CTCCTTCTACTTTACCATTGTGTTGCTTTACCTTCCAGCTCCTTGCTGACCCTTCCTGTTCATTTCTAAATATCTATAGGCTGCTGCCCCCCCAAATCTATAGGCTGCTGCCCCCCCAAAAATCTATGGGCTGCTGCCTCCCCAAATCTATGGGCTGCTGCCCCCAAATCTATAGGCTGCTGCCCCCCCCAAATCTATGGGCTGCTGCTGCCCCAAATCTAAAGGCTGCTGCCCCCAAATCTATAGGCTGCTGCTGGGCTGCTGCCCCCAATCTATGGGCTGCTGCCCCCAAATCTAAAGGCTGCTGCTGCCCTCAAATCTATAGGCTGCTGCCCCCCTCCCCAAATCTATGGGCTGCTGCCCCCCTCCCCAAGTCTATGGGCTGCTGCCCCCAAATCTAAAGGCTGCTGCCCCCCCCCCAAAGGCTGCTGCCCTCCCCAAATTATGGGCTGCTGCCCCCAAATCTATAGGCTGCTGCCCCCCTCTCAAACCCTCCCCCCATCCCTCACTTACCTGATCTGTAGGCTGTCTCTGGCTGCATGTGCTGCTCCCCTGCGGTTTCAATCAGCAGAGAGAAGCAGGGATAAGATGCAGCTTCCTATCCCTGTCTCTCTCCATACACAGCGCCACCTACTGGCCTGCGCCGGTATTGCAGTTCATTTTAAATCTCACACAAAATAGCAGAACAAGCTGAAAAATCCAGGGGGGGGCAAGTGCCCCCCCTTGCCCCCCCCTGCGGACGCCCATGTCCACATATGCTTTAAAGGGACACGATAGTCACCAGAACAACTATAGTTTAATATTCCAGAGTCTATAGCCTGTCACTGCAGGCTTTTCAATGTAAACGCTTTTTTTGAAATATCCAAATCAGAGTCTCTCAAGTCCGGTACAGTAGAAAATTCATTAAAAAAATGGGATATTCAGTGTATTTTGTAAAGTGCTTTAGTGCAGAGGAACTCCACCTAGATATGGTGAATCAGGATGGTGTTCACCGCACCTTGGGGTCTCACAGGCTTGTTGGTAGTATATACACTGCTCAAAAGAATAAAGGGAACACAAAAATAACACATCCTAGATCTGAATGAATTAAATATTCTTCTGAAATACTTTGTTCTTTATATAATTGAATGTGCTGACAAAATCACACAAAAATGTAAAAATGGAAATCAAATTTTTCAACCCATGGAGGTCTGGATTTGGAGTCACACTCAACATTAAAGTGGAAAAACACACTACAGGCTGATCCAACTTTGATGTAATGTCCTGAAAACAAGTCAAAATGAGGCTCAGTAGTGTGTGTGGCCTCCACGTGCCTGTGTGACCTCCCTACAACGCCTGTGCATGCTCCTGATGAGGTTGTGGATGGCCTCCTGAGGGATCTCCTCACAGACCTGGACTAAAGCATCTGCCAACTCCTGGACAGTCTGTGGTGCAACGTGATGTTGGTGGATGGAGCGAGACATGATGTCCCAGATGTCCAGTCCATAGCATCAATGCCTTTGTCTTGCAGGAACTGCTGACACACTCCAGCCACATGAGGTCTAGCATTGTCTTGCATTAGGAGAAACCCAGGGCTAACCGCACCAGCATATGGTCTCACAAGGGGTCTGAGGATATCATCTCGGTACCTAATGGCAGTCAGGCTACCTCTGGCGAGCACATGGAGGGCTGTGCGGCTCCCCAAAGAAATGCCACCCCACACCATTACTGAACCACTGCCAAACCGGTCATGCTGGAGGATGTTGCAGGCAGCAGAAAGTTCTCCACGGCGCCTACAGACTCTGTCACGTCTGTCACATGTGCTCAGTGTGAACCTGCTTTCATTTCTGAAGAGCACAGGGCACCAGTGGCGAATTTGCCAATCTTGGTGTTCTCTGGCAAATGCCAAACGTCCTGCACGGTTTTGGGCTGTAAGCACAACCCCCACCTGTGGACGTCGGGCCCTCATACCACCCTCATGGAGTCTGTTTGAGCAGACATATGCACATTTGAGGCCTGCTGGAGGTCATTTTGCAGGGCTCTGGCAGTGCTCCTCTTGTTCCTCCTTGCACAAAGCGGTCCTGCTGCTGGGTTGTTGCTCTCCTACCACCTCCTCCACGTCTCCTGATGTACTGGCCTGTCTCCTGGTAGTGCCTCCATGCTCTGGACACTACGCTGACAGACACAGCAAACCTTCTTGCCACAGCTCACATTGATGTGCCATCCTGGATGAGCTGCACTACCTGAGCCACTTGTGTGGGTTGTAGACTCCGTCTCATGCTACCACTAGAGTGACAGCACCACCAGCATTCAAAAGTTACCAAAACATCAGCCAGGAAGCATAGGAACTGAGAAGTGGTCTGTTGTCACTAACTGCAGAACCACTCCTTTATTGGGGGTGTCTTGCTAATTGCCTATAATTTCCACCTGTTGTCTATCCCATTTGTACAACAGCATGTGAAATTGATTGTCAGTCAGTATTGCTTCCTAAGTGGACAGTTTGATTTCACAGAAGTGTGATTGACTTGGAGTTACATTGTGTTGTTTAAGTGTTCCCTTAATTTTTTTGAGCAGTGTATAAATGACAAGAATAAAAAAATATATATTGCTCACTGTTGTTAATATAAATAAACAAATTAGGAGAGGCACTCACAAACATAAGGTTTGTAAATGCTTCTCCTATATTAACTGTTGTTACTATAAATAAATAAATACAATTAGGAGAGGCACTCACAAAATAAGGTTTTGCTTAATCCACAGCGCTTAGATGGTATTTTCTCCACTATAGGAATATGTGGTCCCAGGCTCCCCAGAAGGTTAATGTGAAGTCGACAGAATTTAGCAAATAAGTACTTTCTTTAATAAACTAGTACATAAGATCTGAAAATAATAAAAGCAATACAAAAGCAGTAAAACAACAAAGCATTTTGCCAGAAATAGGCTTTTTCTGAATGTGCAATAAAGGAAGTATAAACATTAGATGACTCTTTACAGGAAGTGTGTAGGAAGACTGTGTAGGTTACATGCAGTGAGGTTGCATAAACAATGTGATTTAACACCTAAATAGCAGCGCATTGAGCAGTGAGACTGCAAGGGCATGATCTGTACCCCAAAGCTGTTTCATTAAGCTTAAGCTGTAGTAATTCAGAAAAAGTAATTCAGAAAGAGACCTGTGGAGTTTTAATGAACACCTTATTCCTTAGAATTATAGCACAAATTGATTGTTATTGGCAATGCAAGGAAATTTCCCAGCACCTCTTCAGTATCATACATTTCAAAGACTAAATGCTAATGGCTAGGGTTTGAGTTAGGGTTAAAATTACTAATCAGTGTTACATAGTGTGCAGTACAGGAACAAGCAATTTTAGGGCAGCAGCTGGACATGTTTGAGCTGTCCTGAGATTGGTGGGAGTCATAGTCCTAGGGAGCAGCCGCTCTTTGTAGCTGCCATCATTAATTCACCATTCATATTTTTACTGACATCTATTTTTCAAGGGCTATAGAGAGGGAGACAAATTGCAGTAAATTTAAACATTGTCTCTGTATGAACAGCGTAGATAGATAGATAGCATGGATGGTGTATATTATCTTTATACATAACATAAAACTGTAATATATCTGTCAGTGAGTCTGTCTGTCTTACTGGAGGGGACCTGTGGCCCATTGTGACTGCTCACTGTGACATCATGTGATATCACCTTTAATGCTAACAGTTTGCAGTAGTCACTTGACACGGCTTAGACAGTAGACACTGCTTTGCTGCTGTTGTGATTCATTTGCTAAAGATGGCAAATAGAAATATTTTCTCATTTTTTCGACATTTGCGCATTCGGAAAGTAAGTACATGACTTGATTTCTTTAAGGTTCCAATTATCTTTACCATTAACCGGGTGCTGTAACAGTTTAAGTCAAAGGTTGTGGGTAGATCCATAGTTATAATTATTAATAAGCTTATCTAGAGGGGTAGAAGGTATTGTATTGCTATCTCATTGGAGTTAAATCCTTAATTAATTGTTCTTTATTCAGTTTCCTATGAAAGCCTATGGTCTCCCCATTCATTTGTCCTTTCAATTTGCCCTTTAAAGTTACAGCAATTTGCTGTTACTTCCTGGTTTGGTTAGCTCAGTGGAGCTAAACCCAAGAGGCAGCAATTGCCCAGAGCACCTGCAATGCAGAGACTTCTCATCAAGCTGCATTGGGAATTCTGTGATTGGACAGCCACAAAAAGTATGGGCGAGGTTTGTAGGAGGAAGCTTGCAAAGGCTTCAGACAAGAGTACTGCAGGTTTTGCAAGAAATTATATCTACTGTGGTATGTCTAAATAACTAAATAGTGATTTTTAGTTATTCTCTCTTTGAGCAGTAGAGTGTCCCTTTAATTACTTTACCTTAAATTTTGCCATTTAGATTTCAGTTCACTAACATTCACTGTTCATTTCAGCCATAAAAGTTACTCCATAGATTGGAAATCTATATAAAACATTTCCAATACTAGGTACATACAGAGCACATGCAAGTTTTTTTACCAGCTTAGACAAAACAATATGCTCCGCCCATGGTGTGACATCACACTTACCACGTCAACTTATTTTCTGCCAGTGATGTTTTTTTGGCGGAACTTTTATAAACTGTCTCAAATGTAACAGGCTTCAGACAGAAAGCTGAGGTTCATTATGTGTGTGGCATTTTCCTTTAAAGTGACACTCTCAGCACCATAACTACTACCACTCACTGCCACTCATAGGCTGAGACCGTCAACTGACGCTCTCAGCCAATCTCTGCCACCTCCTTAATGCTCGTACAAGTGTTGCTGCATTAGCCATAAAAAAGAGGGAGAGAGGGCGGAGCTTAGCCGCGGAACCAAGCGGTCGCACACACGGAGAGCTCCGGCAAACACGAGACAAAATCAACGAGAAAATAAAGCCAACACAAAACCAAAAGAGCCCACATACCTCCGGAACCCTGCGGGCAGACCGGGAGAGCAAAACAGATACCCGACTGATGCCCTTTACATTCCAGCAGACGGGTCGGAGAGTCCGCCGTAAAGCCAAGGCCTACCAAGACTACAGGGCCCTTGATACGGCACTATACAGCGCAGCACTCTCCTTAACTGCACAGCCAGCACCCACCGACTGGGACACCATGGGGAGAAAATCCCAGCGGACGGCAGCAGGTGCGTGCAAAGACACCCGTGACATTAGCACCATGCTCCAGCGCCCGGCGGGCTCAAAGATGGCGACCACGCCTGACCCAGAGACTATCTCCACATGCTCGGATCAGGCCGAGGGGGATACACCAGACCATCGGTTGCCCCAAGACATACAAGCGGACCCAGATGCGTTAACACCAGCCACCAAACTGGACATTAAAAACCTTCTGCGGGAACTAAAACAAATGACAGCGGCAGACATGGCCATTATGAAAACGGAGGTCCAAGCGGTCACGGACCGTGTGAAAGCCTCAGAGGAAGATATCAACGACATACAACAAGAAATACAAGGCCTTAAAGAAACGGTATCACACCTCAAATCCTCTCACTCAACTCTGCTCAGCAAACTTGAGGCAACTGAAGAGAGGAGCCGCAAATGCAATGTAAAAATCAGGGGAGTCCCCGACGATGTCAGTCAGTCAGAGCTGCTGCATTATCTCAGGCGACTGATGGCCACCATATTGCCACATGCACAGGCCAAAAAACTGGCCGTCACAGAGATGTTTCGCATCCGCAAATCACCACAGGCACCCCCCCAAGCAACCAGGGATGTAATCGTCAGGTGCAATACTCAGGCAGACAGGAACGCCATCTTTGCAGCGCTAAAGGGCAAAACGCCATTGGACTTTGAATCCGCAAGTCTTACCTTTTACCAAGACTTAACACGATCCATACTTCAATGGAGACGAAACCTACGCCCAGTGACCCGTCGCCTCCAAGAAGCCAAAGTAACCTACCGTTGGACAACACCCAAAACCTTGTCCGTGGACCACAACGGCACTACTCTGCATCTCACCTCCACCCAGGAAGCGGACTCCTTCCTCAAGGCGCTGAAGCTCACACCGAGACCAGATCTAACTGACGAGCCCACCAGCTCCCATACATGGGACCCCACCAGAACTGTTCCTTTTGTATCGAGGAGACGGGAAATCCCGATAGCGGACACTTGACGTACATGACTACCACTCAGCCCGCTGATGAAAAATTACCAGAGTTAACCATATTGTTTTTCTATTACCTGTTCATAGTTAACATATATACCAAGGGTTTAGCACCATTTAGGGAACCTAGCAGGGCACACACCCATATAACACTTACTTAAGCTAAACGGCCAACTCACAGGAGATGGCCCACATACCAACACCACAATTGATGGGCACCGCAATCCCCACAACAGCCACCGTTAAGCCGGAGCCTGCTCATATACCAATAGTACCTCTCCACCAACTCCTCCGAGGCCCCCGTCAGCTAGGGGTCAAAGACCACACACACACACATCGTACAACTATCCAGGAGGCACACGAGCCAATTTCATGATAGAGAGACCTAAGATTATGCACGTTACACCTAGCCACAATGCCCTGGACTAGGGATACATTGGCGAGTAGTGTGGTGAGAACCCGTGGCTCCATGGCTTCCGCTAAGACCTACTCACACGAAATAAGCAACCATAGTACACCAAGCAGAGTAGAACATGTTATGGAACACCAAGATAATTACATGCAACTTATCACCTTAGTGGGACTCATGGCGACACATCGCCAGATCAAGCAGGATTGTTGTAGCGGGTAAAACTTACCTTACAGAATCCCTGTGCACTAGGTTACGGGACATGCAGCACCACGTTCACAGTTAACCACCATTTTAGTAAATTGTTCTCTCAATACCATGATATAAACTTAAGCGTAGATAGAGTTGTCACATAGAGATCCAGTCTAGCGTGTTTATTGCCAACTGTTGAAGCCTCATAACCTGTCTTTTTCAGGGTCTGAACAAACTAGTACTGTTTAAAATGCCAGACTTTGCATGAAACCCTTGTAAATACTTATTGTCTTAGATAAACAAAAGGAAAGCTGCTTTCTGAACCTAGGCAATGTAAACCTATACCATCTATCTCCTTACCCAAAAAACAAAACTGTGCGATATCTACTGTCTACCCCTATGTTTACACTGTACATACTGCGCTAGAGGAATGCCTTTGGGGTACCTCCTAAGCAATTGTTATATTTGTACGCACTACAAAAATAAAGAATTTTAAAAAAAAAAAGAGGGAGAGACCGGTACTTGGGACACATATTTAGTGTTAAACCATTCTTAAAACGATTAAACACTAGATAGATGATAGATAGATAGACAGACAGACAGAGAGACAGACAGAGAGACAGACAAATAGATAAATAGCATGATTGGTGTATGTTTTATATATAATATAAAACTGTACTATATCTGTCAGTGTGTCCATCTGTCTTGTTGGAGATACCTGTGGCCTATTGTGACTGCTCACTGTGACATCACGTGACATCATGTGACATCATGTGATATCACCTTTAATGCTAACAGTTTGCAGTAGTCACTTGTCACGGCTTAGACAGTAGACACTGCTTAGCTGTTTTGGTGATTAATTTGCTAAAGATGGAAAATAGAAATATTTTCTCATTTTTTCGACATTTGCGCATTCGAAATGTAAGTAAATGAGTTGCATTCTTTAAGGTTCCAATTGACTTTACCATTAACCGGGTGCTGTAACAGTTTAACTCCAAGGTTGTGGGTGAATCCATAATTATAATTATTAACACGTATCTTTAGAGGGGTAGACGCTATTTTATTCTTATCTTAATAGAGTTAGAACTTTACCTCAGTTTTCTATATTTAAATCCCCATGAAAGCATATGGCCTCCCCATTCCTGTGTCCTTTCAAATTGCTCTTTATAGTTATCGAAATTTGAATTAGAACACTCCGAATTCAATAAGTCAAATATATGGTTTACATACACTAAGGTTGTGGCATATAAACATTATACAATTATTACATAAAATTAACATTATTACAGAAGGTCCTGTTACTTTCTGGTTTGTTTAGCTCAGTGGAGCTAAGCCCAAGAGGTAGCAATTGCTCAGAGGTTTATATATATATATATATATATATATATATATATATATATATACTTCCCCCCCCCCATGACAAAATGCATACATGTTATCATGTAGGGTATATCTACTAAACAGTGAGTTTTATTTATTTTGCATTTGGGCAATAAAGTGTCCCTTTAACTATTTTACCTTAAATGAAACCATGAAAGTTATATATTTAGTGATAAACCATTCGTAAAACGATTTAACACTTAAACATAATACTATTCCATGGACTCGAGGCACTATAACAACATCAATGAGATTTAAGTACACTAATAACTTGTACTTTAGGTTGTTTGTAGTAGTTTTTTTCTATTGTGGTAGAAAGAAGATGTACTGCAAAATTACTAAAAAAAATTCGAGCATTTTTCATGCAATGTGCAATGTGTCTTTGGTTTTCTAATTGTTTTTGCTTTTTCAGGGCACCAGATGCCAAAAATCTGATAATGCTGAGCAGAAAGGAGAGGAACCTCCAGGTACGCTAACACATTGTGTGTGTCTGACTGTAGATCTATGTATCTTGTTAAAACAGTTTTAGCATTTTATAAAAGCTCACTGTATTTTATAACTTCCTGTTTTACCCTCCGCTACTTGTCCTCTATCTCCTCTTCCCTATTTAGGAAACACAATAACCATTCTACTAGCAGGACCTTCCTGCTCGTATAACAACTTTAAGTATAGTTTTCTGTAAACTTTTTTTACCAGAAAGGACACATTAAGATTTCTATAGTTTGATTATTTCCTGCAAAGTTCGTACAAAATATATTGTGAGTTTCTCCTAACCCCCCTACTTCCCTTGTGTGTTTTCCCACACGACTGCCCATACAGTCACCACTCATATGAATACATAAAAAAAAATGCTCTCCCCAAGAAATCTGTAAAAGATTTTGGACGAGGTAGATGATAGCTTTATGTTATAGTTTTACAAAGCTGGAAGAAGGAGCCTTCCTACAACAAACCATTTGAGAGGGCAAAGCCTGTTATGATACATGAAGTGTCTGTTTGAAGAAAAGCGTATGTATTAAAAGATCATATCATCTTTCTTGTATTGTGTAGTATTTCTAATGCTGATTGAACAACATTGTCTGTCAACATTGTGATTTGACTGCTGTCTTTTTATTTAATTATTTATAGAGTGTCTAAAGACTCCAAACTCTCCTAAAAGGGCCAATGGTTCATCAGCAAGTAATAGGTGGTCCTCAGTTGATCTGAACACTCCTAAACATCATATCACGTCAGCTATTAATGGTGGGTCATCGAAAGACGTCCCTAGACATGCAACTCAGCCGGATATTGATAAAATAAGGGTGCAGATCAAACAGGACATAAAGAAAGAACTAAAAATCGCATACGGAGCCAGAAACATTGGAAACATCACATCGAACAGAAAACATCAAGGAAAAGTTAACAAGTTTCTAAAAACATCACGAAAGAAACTAGATGAGCTTTACAAAAGGCTTCAAGAGCGAAATGCACAGATCGTCTTGCAAGATACAGAAGGTACATTTTGAGACTTTGTGTTTCCTTGTAATGCATGTGCTTGTTTATTGTGTATGTATGTATATATATATTTCAAGTATTTCCTGGAGAACATGTATAAATACTATGTCACACATCCAACATGTAAATGTAGCGTACAGATATTTAGAAGGACATTACGAGTAATAACTATTCAATTTTGATTTTACAATTTGGTGGATGTTTTAGAGACTTTAAAAAGCAAGGCAAGTGATGTATGAGATCGTAAACTCAACTATAGAAAAGATCTCTTGTTGAGCATCAGATCACCCACATTATACAGTGTGAAAACTTGCAGAAATAAATAAATATTGCCTGAGGAAGGCTTAGCATTGTTTGTTTTACAAAAATGTAAATGAGTTCAGTGCAAATTCAACTTTTAGCTAATTACAGTGTATTAAATGAATACTCCAGGCACTATAACAATTACAGATATAGGATTTATGGGATTTATGGTGCCATCCAATGGTAAGATGTCAAAAAGTCAAACAGCTTTTGTATAGTGAAGCACCTTAACTGTGTCCCCGGAACCTGCAGAAACATCCACTGCACCTAGTGTTCTAAAGCCAGAAAACATGTCAGATGTCTCTGTAAATTAAAACATGACCATTAAAGGAACATATTAATTGGCTGAAGTAGCTCAGTGGATGCTCTTAGCCAATTAGCCAGGTCCTACATGCCCCTACTTTGTTTTATAAGGCAATGAGAATTTTCTCGCTGGAGTAGACTGAATGCAGGGGATGAGGTCACAGGCGCCCAGCTGTACCCAGGTAAGGCGTCACACGAGAATAGTGTGACAGGGCACTCCAGAAACCATAGCCACAGCAGCAGGCTATAGTGGTTAAGGTCTTTGGAGTGTTCCTTTAAATGTGAACTAAAGACTGAAGACTACACAATTTTTATCACATTGTACAAAATGAATAAATGAACAATTCTGCAAAATAAATAAGAAATGAGAAAAAAGGCACTCACTTTTGAAGCTTTTACAATTCTTGGAAGTTAACAGGATTTGCAGCTTCTACAGTGAGCTATGTCTATATAGGAAATCTTTGGCCCAATCCTGGTGTTTGCATTATTACATGAGGGAGACATTTATTGGGATCTTGTGAAAACATACAGAGTTGCAAAGTGGCTTATAAAATAACCCCATTTATGCCATGTCTGGCTATTATAGCCCCACAGAAAATGTTGTTCAAGGTGTCAGCCTGTGATGTCATCAAGCATGGGATGGTGGACTTTTAGCTGTGATTTTTGTTGTTTTTGTTGATTAACTACTGCTCTTAGTATTTATGTAAACTAGAATAACTTTACTTACACATCTTAATGATACTTACTTTTTATATTTATTAAGTGAAACTGTCTGCCGACATTTCTAAATTCTGTATATTTTTCTTGTTACTAATGTCTGGGATATCCAGAGACCTCCTCTGATGCTCCTAAATGTGACACCGGCTCCCAGACAGATAACGCCAAGCTGACTGCTTTGAAACAACAGCTGGAAATTGAGTTGAAGGTGAAACATGGAGCAGAGACTATGGTCCAAGCATATTCAAATGGGCATTCCAAAGTAAGTTGGTTATATTTAGATTTATCTTAAAGAGACAGAAAATACATTTATATTTTATTTTTTAACTCCAAAGGCATTTAGTCTGTTTTATGCTAATGGTATGCTGATGATATTTTAAGAGAGGTGATCCAAACTAGGTTTCCAAGAGTTTGCCAACACGTCTCTCAACTAAATAGTTGAAGGCACTTGTTTTTCTTGATCAGCTATTGAGTCTTTTTAACATTTCTAATTGCAAAGGATGCAAACAGTTTGTATTTCTCTTTATATCATTCTCTCTTTGTAAAGATTCTAATGCTTACCTTTTTTTCATAATACGTGCCTATAATTTAGTTCGCCTGAAAAGAAGCACTGCAGTGTGCCTAAATCCCTTGCTCCTTTCCCCTAGAGTCAAGAATACAGCTAATGTATTTTGAGCCATAAAGGAGATCGTACTCTAAAAGAGACACAAAGAGAACAAAATGTATAGTCCCTGTGTGTCATGCACGTGGGCTGGTGTAATAATAAAATCATTGTTTAAGGGGTAATTAGAACAAAACATAGTCCATGTCTGTCCTGGGTTGTGTGAGCAGTTAGGGTTTCCTACAGGATGGTAAACTAAGCCTACACGTCTTCATACATCTTACTCAATGATCTATCTGACTATTCTTATTGCTGTTACAGAATGTCAAACATCTTGCTTCTGTCCAGAAAATACTACAAGACAGTGAGAAAAAAATAGACAGTTTACGCATGCTAATTATGGAAGAAAAGTCTATTATTAAAGGTAAATGTTCAGTAATCGCATATGTAGTTTAAAAGAAACATGTTCAGACATTATTTGACTTCTTATAATGGAGTGCTAAGGCACTCTTGGAACCATACCCACTGCAACACGGTTAAAATCTCTTCCAGGAAGGTATGAGAGAGCTGGATGTATCCCTCTGCACTCCAAGATTTTATTAGGAAATCTAGAGCTGCACTTCTTCTTAGAGGTGTGAGCAAAGCTAGTTGTACGTGCAACGTGCAAATACATTTTATATGATTTACAAGGAATACATCTTGGACATCCATATATCAGCTAGTTAGAGTAGTGTGAATGTTGCTCCCTTAGAACTGGGAGGCCAAGGTTTGAATCGTGTCTGTTGGGAAGAAATCCACCTACCTCAATTACTCATTGGTTGTACGTTTGTTTGAGCAAGGACTTCTTCGCCTCTAAATATCCCTTTCTAGAATTGTAAAGCGCTGTAGACTTTTTTTTAATGCTATAGAAACGATAAGAGTAATATCCTGAAAATAATTTTCTTGCATAATGCTTTACCAGATAAATTATTAATAGTCAGTCCATTTAAAAAATAGCTTTATATAAAATAGTGCACTGAGAGATATTAAAACTTACATATAAAGATGGCAATAAAAACCTTAGACAAATCAAACATGCATTCTGCTGGGTGATTTAGGCCATTTAGGTCAAAGCATGGTCAGTAACCTGAATATTGATAGTTGACGAGAAACTAATGAGAGCCACCTTCCTGCCTTCAGTAAGATGCAGAAATCTGAGGGCAGTACGACTATAACCAGGCATGTTCCGCAACTTTCTTTTACATGCACGCTTTACCCATCATAACCGCTCCAGCTTATTTAAGTGGTTATGGTGATACATTACTGTCCCTGCAGTTCTGTTGCAGTGTCACTAGCTGGGTTTCTAAGAGCAACGTGTACGGTCACCTAGAAAACTTGCTGATCAGATAGATGGAAATGATACTTCCTGAGTCTCATGCCAACACATACCAGTTGGATTGGTCGTCAACGCTGAAAGTCCAAATAGTACCTCTGGGTTGACAAGTACAAGGAGCATAATATCTTCATTAAGAGAAAGTCAATGCTTCTGAATATAAAGAACATTCTAAAAACAAGGCAATTCTATGTTTAATGTGCCTTTCATTTAATTAAAAAAAGTCTGATCCTTTAAATGAACAATTCTTACTTGTTCTCTGATGAACTCCTGCAATAGTCTCCTACGAGACAGACAACTTTGAATGTGAGCAGCACTGCGAATACATACGCTCAGAACTGTGGGCATTACATTCCTCTTGTTGGCAGGCATGTCGATGCATGCGCATCAATTCTAACAGCCATCCTGCAGGAAGCGCGCGCATTATTTCAGCTACACGGTATATGGATATTATATTTTATATATATCTGATATACTTAATTTATATATCATGAGTTTATATAAAAGCATTGCAAGAGTATGAATAACAAAGTGATTATTTTAAAAAATTAAGTATCAGAAAGATCTATGATTGGAGATTCTGTTTCTTGTTTTATTGTTTTTGCATTGCTGTGAATATAATTAGAGAATTATTAATCACTGTGTATGATATAAATACTTACATTATGTTATGTCTCAACTTTTACAGAAGAAACATCATTACCAGCTCCGGAGACAGACATTACTTCTGTTGCTCCTTTGGAGTTGGTGACGGACATACAGGAGCCAGAGCCGGCTAGGTATCAACTTTGTATATTTCTCATCAATGTTGTCAGGACCTTAAACCAACACAGTTTACAAAACCATACCTGTAGATTTTTCTATAAGTCTATCGTATGTTTGTCTACTGCTATTTACATGTTTCGTAGCATGTGTATCAGGTTCCTTGTCTTTATAGGACTCCTGTGAATTCTGAACTCTGCCAGGCAGGGTGTGAAAGTGCTTTGGATGTCACACAGGAAGCACAGAATGTAGAATTCTATACAGTTAAAAGACATAGAAATCTGCAATCAGTATTCTTGGGATGTCCTTTAAATAATGGACTGTATATAGCAGAATTATTGTCTAAAATATGAGTATAAATATATGATAATCTATTTTTTTCATCCTTCTCATAGCGATTTTCCAATCACTGATATCAAACCAATTATCCCGCCGGATGTAGAAGTTGACTTAGAGGCATCTCCTGCACCGAGTCGAACATTTCTACACAGTGATCTGAGTCGGTTTTCAGCACATATTGAGATCCCGGATATACTAGCTCAAGTAAATATGTGCTGCCTTTTTTAATTGGGTATTCTTTATCCCTAAACTTAAATGGACACTCCCTGTAGAATAACCATTACAGCTCAGTGCAGTAGTTATAGTGCACATATATAATGTGGATACTAGCTATCTCTTTGGGAGCATTTTGACAAAACACAAGGCTCTCCCTGGCACCCAGAGATGGCCACCTTGGCCACAGTGTTAATGTGGAATTTACATTTCCCCACTAACAATATGGTTGAGGACGGGGAGGTATCAAAGAACTTGGAAAAATTCAACTGGTTTGATAATAAACCAGAGATTGTACCAGTACACTCTAGGCAATAAAACCACTACAGTGAGCTTGAATGGCTATGGTGCTTACAGTTCCCATTTAATAACTATTTTCACACATTTGCTGATTCCTTATGATAAGATAAGGCCGGAACTAATTAAAAGTATTTCAGAATATTGGGCAGACTAGATGGGCCGAATGGTTCTTACCTGCCGTCACATTCCATGTTGCTATGTTTCTATGTTTCTATATCCAAACAAACCTTCCTTTAGTTTTCACTACCACATGCTTCCTTTTCTTTATTGATCAATATGTTGCCGACTCAATCAGACTAAGCCCTAAACCAATGGTCAGCATTCTAGTGGAGATGATGTCTGATAACCTTTATAAAAGGAAGAGAGGTGTACAGCCTTTATTGAAGTCGCCATGCATAATCTCTGCTCCCTTTTAAAAATAAGAAGAATCATATAAAAATGATAGAAAGGATGAAAATGTATGCACTAATTTGAGTTTTATTATTTGCCCAATGTGTCCCATGTTTGCATTTCTTCATCGTTTGAGTTGAGGACCTCTGGGTTTAATAAAATAAATCAGACAGTCTAATGGTTTATCAAAAGGTAACAGTCAATTCCTATGACTTTTATTGTTATATTCACTTGTCCCTATATTTAACAACTATGTATTTGTGAGATGTAAACAATAAAATTAAATGCAGAATTCCAACCTCTTTATCCTGTAACTGGGTGCATTCATCTTAGCTCCCTGACAATCATTGTTATACGCTCCCCCTTTACACCTGGCATTCAGCATAGAGAGCGCGTACAGAGAGGAGGAGAAATCAAAACTGTTTCCATGTCTATTCTGCATTTGCAATGTATTCTCATGAAAAAGCAGAGCTTTTTATAAAAAAACATATAGGTGATTTTCAGTGTTTTACTCAAGAGGTGCACTTTCCAGAGAAATGACAAAAAATCTTGACTGTTTTTTGTGTATGTTTTTCTTTTCTAGGATTCCGGAGATGGATATGAATGTAGCATTGATGTCAGCTCTATTGGGGCAGTAGAGGAAATGAGTGAACCGAACTGTTCCAGTCTGGATAATAGTGTCCCTGATATTTCAGAAAACCCTGAGGACCTACCCGATAACTACTTATTAGGGCAATTTGGGAAAGTAAGTTTAAGCACAGTTACCCTTTCAAATTCTAAAGATTGAAAAAAGTTAGATATTCTTCCAAATCTTCAATACTAAATCACTTACAAATTCTCTACAAGAATAAAAAAAGGACACAAAGAATAGTACTGATAAAAGTAAACAGTGGGATATGAATATGATTGCATTCACAGAATATTAAAAGTAGTACACATATCTCCAAACCAAGGGTACACTTAATATTTCCCATTCTTCTGAGAAAATTCTTCTTCCTGTACATATGCATAAAAAGATTATGTACATATGCATAAAAAGATTAAAACATTAATAACATTGCACTTACGGGATAAAAGCATAAAAATGCCTCTCACCAAAGGCAGGTATATGTGACAAGTTAAAAACAGCATCCCTACTTGTTTCAACCCTCTGCAGAACCTCCGCAGCTTACAAGAAATCCAATGCAGAGTACAAACATGCAATATCCCAACCAACGTCTTAACTCAACCAGAAGTCCTTTCGATTGGAAAGTCATTTTCGAATATAACATACAGATATAGGAACCAAATAAATGCAAAAAGGGGAATGTACAAGGGGAGAGACAGGATTCGGATGAAAATTACTCAAAATGAATAACATAATAATGAAACCCAATACCAATGAAAGCAAAAACAAATATTAAAAAATTATTAAATTAAATTATCAGCAAAACCAAAATTATGAATTAGACAATATTAAAAAAAGTAAAAATGGGGGGCGGGGCCTAACTTCAGAGCTGTGCAGACGCTCATCTCAGCAGCTCCTGCCGAATTTCACTGCCACACCGGCATACAATCATGATTAAAAGGTCACCACAGGAGAGTGGGCATCGAGGTGAAGAGAACGACACCTCTCAAGCGACTAACAGAGCAAAACTCACTGTGGGGCCTACAAGCATGGCAGACACAGGGGAGACGGCCGCTCCCCAGCTGCAACACCGCGCCGGATATCTGGTGGTGGGCTCTCGTTTCCCCCCCCCCCCCGGACCGGTGGGGATCATCGCGGTCTACCCCAAGGCAACGGGCCTGTACCAGCTCCGCGGAGCCCAAAATCAACTGTCCCTGTGGGCGCTAAAATGGCGGGAATCTACCGCTCCGCTGACCCACCCAACGCATGGCAGGAAACGGAGATGTGGCTGAACAGCATCTTCGCTGATTTCTGGGAAAAACTGGAAGCCCGCATGAGACCCTCAATGTCTGAGGAGCTGCCTCAGCCATCACTACAGTGTGCCCAGCAGGAGGCCAGACGGGGACAAGCTGCAGCGTACTCCCACAGCACCACCACGAAAAGTCAGCTCCAGCGGCGGTCCCTCTCAAGGCCAAGACCTAACAGGGAGCAAAGGTGTGTGGTATTTGACCAAAACTGAAATTCTGGTCTTTCCTTGCTCAAGTGTTGTTACTCCTGTGTCTGTCTCCCTCCAAGTCAACGGTGCTACCATCAGATCCACCACGCAG